TTATTATTTTTTTTTATAACAAGAAATTATTTTGTTTTGGTCTGTGAAAGTTTTTGATAAGGTGAGTCAATTGACCAATTTAGTGTAACCTTAAATTGCCAGAGAGGTAGAGACCTTGTAGCCCATTCCCAGTTTTCTGGGAAAAGATAAGACAATCAAATAACCAACAAAAAATTAAAATGAAAAATAATACTACAATTCAGCTTTGCAATTCAAACCAGCCACTATATATTATTATAAGCTTTTCCTAAAGGAAACGATTTTGATAATCAAATTAATTTGCCTGCAATGCAGTATTAGCTTAGAGGTGTGTATACAACCTTCTACTGGCTCATAACTTGGTGAATAAAACAAATAGAAACACAGTGCAGAAATGAGCAGACTTTATCTAAATTCAGCTTATTTTCAAGCTCAACATGCCCTCCGCGAGGCGGTGATTTCTCTTTTGCTTTGTATCGTATCCTTTCTTTTCTACAGAGTTTGTAAAGGCTTACCAAGATGAGCAGACGACAGAGCAGCGAATAACCTCGGCGAGATCGAGGAAGGCAAAAATAATTCCGAGGGAGTCATCGCTGAGGTCTTGAATTCTCGTCCTCCTAGCTTTCTTCGGCGGACGCCGGAGGCCCGCCGCCGATGGCTCCATAATATCGACCGGGTCGGCTCAGGACTTCAGGGTAGAAGAGAAGTCTCGACTTCGAACCGCGGTGTCACTATTTAATAGCATATGAATTGTAAGAATAAATTTTGTTACTTTTTCACTAATTATTTATAAAGTAATGCAACTTGAGCTTGATTATTGTCAACACTTTAATACTTTATAATTAGTTTGGCTAGCGTGATTAACGGTGTATTCTCGTTCTTTCAGAAAGGTCGGAAGTTTGAACTCTCTCGTATGAAAAAATCAATCAAGTCAGCACTTTACTTATTAATTGGACCAATTCGATGTGAATAGGGATTAGTTAGATGTCTTCAGTTCGATGTGAATAGGGAAAGTCAATCTGATCAACACTTACTTATTAACTGGACCAGTTCGATGTGAACAAGGATTAGTCAGATGTCTTCGAACTAGTTTGATGTGAACTGGAATTACTCAGGACAAATAAACCTGAAAAAGCAATATGATCAACACTTTGTTTATTAATTGGACCAGTTTAATGTGAACAAGGATTAGTCAGATATCTTCGAACCAGTTCAATGTGAACCGAAATTACTCAGAACACTTCGTAATTTAACAAATAAAACTACTCAGGGCACCTCGTGATTTAACAAAAAATAAATAAATCTCTATTATAAAATAGCAATAAGAAGTAGTAAATGATCAATTGGTAAAAGTTCCCGCTCAAAGAAAGAAGATTCTAGACAATGGTATATTATGAATCAGTCTTTTAATATATCTCTATATAAAACAATTACTTGGTACTAACAAATAGTAATGATTTTCAAAAAAAAAAAAACAAAAAAAAAAACAAAAAACAAATAGTAATAAATGCATACCATGGCATACAACAGGCGTGTGATTTGGATGAAGGAATTAATGCATTTAATTCTATACATAATTTCAATATTCAAAACATTGTTGGCTGTTCAATGAACCTGCAGAATTCGAAACGTTGGCAGTATTAATTTTTTAACAGTTTACAAAACACAATTCAAATTATAACGACATTCAAGATCTTGGGAATTAAAATGTATTAATTGTTTACAGCTTTTGAAACACACTTTTCACAACTACTTTTATCCTTTACTCCAGTATAAATATCAACAAATACATTGTGAATTTTAACTACAAAATATTCAATCAGCATCTGAGACCATGGTGAATATTGTTGGAGGAATTACCAGAGAGATCAAGGGAGACGAAAAGGTTGTCAGGAATATATTTACAAAGGATTAGAACATGAGATGGAGTAACCATAGAGATCCAGACATTGGAGAGAGCAGCAGAGTTGGTAGGGAGGGAACCAGGGAAGGACGTTACCGGTAGTTGAATGGAAGCTGTGGAGTTATTAGAAAAACGACCACACGTTCAGAGAGAGCAGCTTTGATACCTTAGTAATTAGCTTCTATTCTATAAATACATATATACAAGTTGTCTTCTAAATGATATCTTTCTTTCTTTGTTGTGTTACGTTCAATAGATTATAAACAATGCGCGCAGTTGGTGTCCCGATTTGCGTGCAGTGCGACACCTGCAGCCACCCGTGCAGGTGCAAGGTGGTAGGGCCGACGCTGGGATTCTTGGCGTTCGCGGCGGCAGCGCTGGTGTAGTGACCAGTGGGGGTGGAAGGAGAAGAAGATGGTGTGGAAGGTGATTCTCGATTCATTGTGACTGCGACAGCGATAACGTATACAGAAAATCGAGAAGCTTTAGGAATGCAATGGAAGAGAAAAAGAGGGAGCATGAAGTTGAAGTGATTGAAGTGTGTAGTGGTTAGCGTTGAAGTCAACTATATTAGCCCAAAGAAAAATACCTTATATAAGGGAAAGAGTTAGTAAAAGCAAGGTATGTAATTTTAATGATCATTGGATATATATATAATTGTATAAATGATCTCTGCATGCATACAGGTAACTACGGAGATAATATAAGCATAAATGTTTGTATTTATATTGGTATTGTATTTACTTTCATGCATCCTTTTTTTGTTGAAGCTCTTGCTATGATATATATATATATATATATATATATATATATATATATATATATATATATATATATTTGTTCAATCTTTGCATATTAAGGAATTTTTTATTCAGTAGGGTATTAATGCTTCCATACCAATGAAAGCAGTTCTAAAATATAAAAAATATATTGAAGGGAGGTGTTCAATAGAAGCAGCCATGGTGTTAAATAAAGACAACAAATCAATTCAGATGTTCTTTAAACTTATGCCGTTGCCCATTCCTGTAATTTGAATAAAATCATTTGGTTGAACTACTATTTTTTTCCGATTCAACCACTTTCGGTAAGGATTTTCCAGCCACTGAGCTTTTTAGTTGAAAAGACGATAGAAACACATTGTTCCCGGAGGGGATCTGGATGCCAGATCTGATAACCAGTCTCCAGTTATGGACACTTTTGAAGTGCCGATAACGGGGAATGATTGTTGAACATAGTGGAGAGGAGAAGAAGCAGCATCAAGTTGTGGACGTTTTTGAAGAGTCGGGGAGTGATTGTTGGTCGGAGAAGAGAGGAGAAGCAGCAACACGCACTCTTTTTATTTTATTTTATTTTATTTTTGGATGAAAATGTTGGAGTATTAGGGCAACCCCAATAGAGGTTCATCCCCTAATTTTGGCACAGTAAAATGTCTTCTTAACAAATGAGAACAAATGGGAAGGCAAAAATGATGCTGAATCTTTCTCCTGCAAATATAAAAATTTTGTCAGACTTTTAGAAAAGAAAAGGGAAGGAGACGCGTGTGGGGCATGGGTCCCACCACTGTACATGATGCTTGTTTCTTTGTTTTATTCTTTTTTATTTTTAAATTATGCTTGCCGTTGCAAAATGCAACGGCCAGCTTTTCTTTCTTTTTTTTTTTTAATTTTAATTTTAGTTTTTAATTTTTATCTTAATTTTTTTTAACTTTTTTGTTTTAATTTTTTAATTAGTAATTTAATTTTATTTAATTTTTTAAGCTATTATTGTTATTAAATTTATTAAATTTATAATTATTAATAATATTGTTATTAAATTTATAATTATAATTTGAAAAATAATAATAGATAAAGAAATAATTAAAATATGTAGATAAAATGGTGGGTCCACAAAAAATTGTGAAAAAACTTAAAACTAATGGGAAGAAGAGATTTTGTGATTGAGTGAGATAGTGGATGATGAGGTGGATGTTGGGGCCCACAAAAATCTGGAGAAAAATCCACAACTATTGAGGATGCCCTTAAGAGGCTTACGGTTGTTTCTAGGCATGTTTTTAACCTTTGAATATTAAAGAGTTTGATTATAGTTATGCCTAGGGTTTTTAGATCACACAAACTTAAAACTCTTATGTGTAGTTATTCTAAAGAATGTTGTACTCTATTGTAAATGTATTTTATAATGAAGTGTTCAACAATTTGTAATATTGCATTAATATACGATTATTGTTTATTTCGTTACTAATGTTTTTATACTCATTGATACAATATATAATTACAACTTATTTTTAAAACTTGATAAACAATAATTTTATTTAATTTGTGATCTGTGCATGGCATGGGTGGAATTGTGGTATAGCAATGAACTATTTGTGGTATAACAAAATTTAAGAGCTGTAGTCATGAAAATGCCATCTTAGCATTTTGCTTATCCTACTTCCGAAAAACTTTTAAAAATAAAAACATTCCAAAAATCACGTTAAGCCTATTAATACTCAAAGAATTAAAAAAACAAGATTATATACATACAAGTATGCAATATCCTTCATTAGGTCTATAACCCCAAATATAATAATAATTTTAAAACTTTTAATATCAATTTTAGAAAACAAATTAGAAAATATGAAAAAAAAAATGAGCTTACTTTGACAAAACTAAGGAATACTAATCAATAAAAATTACCAAAAATATTAATCATAATAAAATTTATTCAAGTATTATCACATGTGAGGTTGTTACCAAAGAAATTAGTGTTTGTGCATTATAGTCAATTGTATGTTATTGCTTCAAGAGTTAGCCATTCAAATGGTTTAAAAGTTTTAATTTGTAGTAATTTAGGAAAATGTTATAAGTCAACCACTAATATGGTTTACAAAGAAGTTTTGAATAATTTGTAATTTTGATTAGTTTTTTTTCTATTATTATTCATTAAATTTTTAAAGCTAAAATAACTATTTATATGAGACGTTAATATTTATGCTTATATTTTACATACCGTGCATCGCACGGATAAAATACTAGTAAACTCAAAATACTACAAAAGGGTATTAATTCATTGCAATTACTACTAATAATAGAAAGCTTTTTTGTACTTGGGTAATACTTGAATCCAATGGCATTGGGACATGGGAGACAACATATGTTGAACAACGTACGGATGAGATAAATCGAGGGGAAAAATACATAGGATTGAGACGTAAGCAAGCGTAGACTTTACTCTCCAAGTATATACGAGTGCATCCTTCTTCCCCAAATAGTCCCATCCCCGCAACCACTACAACCACCACTAACCGTCAACCGCCGCCCCGCCTCGCCGCCCGCCGCCACGACAAAAACATGTACAGAGACGAGTCCGCCTGCAACACCTACAACTACGGCGACGCCCTTTACTGGGACGCTCGGTATATTCAGGATGCCGGGTCTGGGCCCTTCGACTGGTACCAGCGCTACGCCGCTCTCCGCCCTTTCGTCCGCAAGTATATTCCCACCGCCTCCCGTGTTCTCATGGTCGGCTGCGGTAATGCCGGTAATTCCTCCTCCTTCTTCTTCTTTCTGTTTATCTTAGCTCAGTCTTTTTTTTTTTTTTTTTTTTTTTTTTTTACCTTTGGTTAATCTTCGGTTAATTTTGCCCCCATTTCTTTAAATTTCTCAATTTACTGCTGCCTGGGAGATTCTCGAAGCTCATATGGTAAAAATGGCATCTTTCTCTTATAGAACACGCCTCGGAGCTTGTAAATTTGCCCTTTTTTGTTTTCAGTAATCTGGTGATTATTATATCCCTACTTTATTTATTTATTTTGCAAATTTTTGGATTGGGCTATTTAAAGATTATTTCTTTTTTTTATTTATTTGGCGTTTAAATATTTATTCCCCATATAAATTCTAGGGTTTTTGCATTTATTCCATACTGGTATCAATACCAAAGGGCAAAGGCCCAAAGGGCATGATTTTGGATATTCTACTGTTGAAAAACTTTGGAATACTGGAGATGAGAAATGGGAAATATTTTTCTGTAACCAAACAGGCCCTTAGTACAGCTTATTGTTTTAGCTCTTTGCCTCTTTCTGAATTCTGATGCCTTTCTTATCCTATTCTAATAGTAGCAGAGCACTACCTGTCCCCACACAAACATATATGTTCCTTCCTCCTAATTTTCAGGGCTTTTATATTCTTGATAAGTTGTGTCCTTAATAGACATGTTACCATGTATTTTTTAAGGTTTTGCACTACTTGACAACTGTTGTGTCCTTAGTATATATGTTACCATGCAAAAAGATTATATTTTTTAAGGTTTTGCACTACTTGACAACTCTTGTGTCCTTATATATGTTACTATGTTAGCATATTTTGAGGTTGTTCAATGAAAATCTTTTGCTTTGTAGTTATGTCGGAGGATATGGTGAAGGATGGGTATAAGGAGATAGTGAATGTTGACATATCATCAGTGGCTATTGATATAATGAGAAGGAAGCATGAGCAGATACCAGAATTGCAATGTATCGTAACTAATGAACTACAACTATTCAAATACACATTTTCATTTTTTTTTTTTTTTGGCAACAATGAATATATTTATGGTTAATTTTTCTCGTGGAACTCGACAGATATGCAAATGGATGTTAGGGATATGAGTTTCTTCCCCGATGAATCATTTGATAGTGTCATTGACAAAGGCAAGATTCATTTTATATGCATTTTCAAAAAATAATTTAGTTTTGTGTTCTAGGAATATAATGTAACGTTCGTTTTGATGTTTGATTTTGTATGCACGATCTGTTCATCCCTGCAACAGGAACTCTTGATTCATTAATGGTGAGATTTTCTTTTTGTGTTTCTTTATCTCTTAATAACTGGTTCAAATGCAATAATCTCTTGGGCTTATAACTTTTCAGTGTGGTACCAATGCTCCAATTAGTGCTTCTCAAATGCTCGGGGAAGTGAGCAGGTTGTATAGCATTTATAGGCTTTTAAGTTTATATTTTCACTTTTTGCTGCAATCAATATTCTTCTTATCGATAAATTTCATGATTGTTTTTACTTTTGTAGGCTTCTGAAACCCGGTGGAGTGTATATGTTGGTAATTATCAGCGGAAAGATTCTTTTTGTTATTAGTTTCCCTTATAAATATTACAATTTCGTATTGATGCTTTTGCTTTCTATTGATAGATAACCTATGGTGATCCCACAGTGAGGATGCCTCATGTGAATCGACCGGTTTACAACTGGAAAATTGAGCTATACAACATACGTAAGTTCCTTATGTTGAATTTGCCCATGTTTTTATCTTCTACACTGTTTATCGTCCATATCTTCGTTTTCTATATCTTGTTTTTTTTTGTTGTGTAAAACACATTTGTATGGCAACTGAAAACCTTAGTACAAGATTGTTTTTATTTTTGTTAGACCATGAGGTGTCCTGAGCAGACCCTAACTGTAGGAGACACCTTTAAGCCTGTACCATACTCATACTAATCAGTAATCCCCATTCGCACCGGGTCGGCCCAATTAAGGGGCAAAGTGCTGGCCAGATTGGGTTTTTCCATACGAGATGGGTTTGAACTCCCAACCTCTCTTAAGGGATGAGAGTGCACGGTCACTCACGCCAACCAAGCTGGTTTAGTACAAGATTGTTGTTAAGATTGATGTCCTTCTTTAGCCTGCGAGGTTTAATTGGGGGGATTATAGATCTCGTTTAGAACCTTCACGTGATACTTGCTTTGAAATGTTTGACGAAACTATTATCTTATCCTTAAATTGTTGTCCGTACCTGCTGGGTAAGACTAATCTAGCTAAGCCTCGATCAGACCCATTAAAGGCAACTCTCGAGACTCGAGAGCAGTGTTGCAAAAATCGCGCCTAGGCGCTAGGCGCTTGGCCTCCTAGGCGGTCCCCAGGCGCCTAGCGATTTTTTCAACATTGCTCGAGAGAGAGTATTGTTACATGTACACGGGTTTGAACTCCCGACCTCATGCTTCCTGATGCTATTTCGTTCTTGTTTGCAGCTAGACCTGGATTTCAGAAGCCCGTAGATTCAACTTCTGGTTTGAAGTCGTATTTGGAACCCATACCTCTGACCGAAGCCGGCTTACTTCCTGCAGATTATGTAATGGAAGACCCCGATTCACACTTTATATACATCTGTAAAAAAACAGAAACCAAATACATTTCGGGATAACTTAAAGGCGCAAACTATATGCTGGTGGTTTTGTTATCAATTTCCAGACCGCGAAAATCGCTGCTTCCTTTCATACCTGTTGTAGTTTGTACACAACTGTATGTATATTCACCTATTCAACTGTGCATTACTGTGACTCATAGCTGATTGAAAGATAAGACTATATGCCAGAAATAATAAAGCTTGTATGGCTTGGGGAAAATTTGTTGTCACTTTAATGACTTTTATCCATCTTTGGGAACCCAATCTGCCCATCTGTATCTCTCATCTCCCCAACTCCCTACTGACTTTACCAGTTAGATTGGACCCTACAAGATTTGGCATCATCTTGGAATATATTATGTAATGCTTGTCCTGTTATTATGTGATAAACCTGAATAGATTATGGGTGATTTGATATCAATTTTCTTCATGATAGTTGACAAGGTTGTCTTTAAGAAAGAAAAATGATTGTTTTATATTCATTGTATATTTGTCAATTGACATGTTGTGTATTAATAAGTTTGAATTACAAACTTAAAGGGCTCCTGCCAAATGCCAATGACCTTAGTGTCACTGGTTGTGAGTTCGAGCTTTAGCGGAGGCTAAGTTGAGAAGTAGTTAGTAGTTATAAACAAATACTGCATTGTAGTAGAGTCGGAGGGACTGATGGAGAAAGTAAATCATATGATAATTTCCTCAAGCTCCATACACCAATCTCCAAAATCCTTCATAAAAGCCTTAATTATGGCTTTTAAGTCTAATTCAATGTCCACATTTATGAGCCATTTTTCTTTAACTAATTTGACCCCCTCCTTCAATCCCAAACATCAAATGTAAAATTGGCCGTCAGACCAACTCTCGAGGGTTAATCATCTCCAAATTTACTTAGTAATTAACTCGTTTACAATTACTAATAAATAAAAGTGATGTAACACTTATTACATTCTACATCATTATAATATTATTTTTATTTAAGAAAAATCCAAGTAGTATTTTTTTCCAATAGGTAAAGGGTTTTGCCCTAGTTAAATTTGGAATCCTTAACAAGGAAGACTTCAAAATAGGAAACATGTACAATAGCTGCAATTCAGCAGAAATTCAAGGAAAGAAGTCTTGAACTTGACTACAAATACTTACCTAAAATAAAAGAACCCTACATATATCGATAATATATCTAAAATAAGAGTTTTAAAATTTATCCTCTATATATATATATTACTTTGTACACATTGCGCGACTGATTTAATGCCGAATGTTTGTAATTAAATAAATAATTCAAAGTATATCACTTCAAGATTATATATATAAAAAAAATCATTATAGTTGACATTAAAATTAGTATTTACACTTTTTTAAAAATAATTATTGTAACTGGTATGATATTAGGTAGTAGATCGTAGTACTACTTTTGGTTAGAATTCCTCTAAATTTTGTTAATTACACACACATATATATATATATTCCAAGGTGTCGAACATCACATGTTCCTTTAATACCCGGTACAACCCAAAAGTGAATGAAAACTATTTTGGGTTTGAATGTCTCCACAATAGGCTGTCTAAATTTATACTGTTTTATAGACTTTTTAATTGTTACCTAATACAAGAGGCACAAATAATGATCTACACAATAGACATTTCTATATATTCTCATATTTATTTTTTTAAAAGGACTAAGATAGGCTAGTAGGGGTAGGAAAATGATTTTGATGCCCAAGGAAGGTGTTGCATAAAAATAGTAAAAGAAGGTAAAAATCAGAAGATAAGAAGAAAAGGAAGTAAAAGATTTTGCACTAATGGCATCCACTTTTAACCCCAATTCTTTGAATTCCAACTATATCAAGAAAGTCAAAAAAGTCAGATCTCAGGAAATTACCATCTACAAAAAGAGGTACAAAACTTTTACCATATAAAGACAAATTTCCTTTTACTTCCTTTTTTGGGAAAATACTTAATTTATTCATCATATCAAAGGGGAAAGATTTTCATATCGCAATTCATTACTTGTACGTAGGGCTAGACATCATTCATTACTTTATGTCCTAATCCTAACTATTATATATATTCCAAGTGGAAATTTATTGGAAAATTTAACCCTTTTTTGTCGTATTCAGTTAAAGATAAACATATAACTTAATTTTTTAAAAATTATATATGTGTTACTTTTTTATTGCTAAATTATTAACTTTGTGCCGAATAGTATGTCTTACTATTTTTATTTGTGAGTGGTTGGCTTTGTGACCAAATAGTCTCTAAAGTGATAAAAATGTTGTGTCAGGATTAGTTGGAAAATGCTAGACATGCTAATTTTAATTATTAAATGTTTAAAAGTCTAGCTTTATATGGTTATTTCTATAATTTTACATCATTATTCTTTAGGCATTCACTAATTATATGTTATATATAAAGGTTGCATCTCTGAGGTTCCCACCTCTCCGCTCCAACATTTGAAATTGGAGGAGGAGATAAATAGTGAGATGTGCCTTAACTAACCAACTACAATTGCTAACAAAGTAATACTCCATTTGATAGAGCATATAGGTTATTTTAAATTGCAAAAAAAACAATATATATATAAGCTTTATTTGGTTGGAGAGAATTGCAATTCCCTCACTTTATTGAATTGCAATTCATACCTTTCCCCATATGAATTTCAATTCAATGGGAAAATAATGAAAGGGACAAAGGAAGAAACATCTTTTTTTACCATTGATTATTATTACACAATGTTATTTTAGTATGAACAAATACCAATTTTGGTCCTACGAGTATTAACAAAATGACGATTTTGGTCTACATGTTTAATTCCTACCAATTTTCATCCACGACTATTATTTTAGTACCAATATTCATCATGTTGGTCGCCCCTCCATTTAAGACATGCCAAAATCTAAAAATTTTAAGGGCATTTTCGTCTTTTTCAACTTAAGATTCCAATTTGAACATGAATAAAGGGATTTAAGCCCTAAGATCGATCCCAATTCGCAGTTCACCTCCTCAGCATACCTTAATTTGAGGAGGAGAACTGCGAATTGTGATAGATCTTATTGTTTAAATCACTTTATTCATGCTTAAATTGGGATCTTAATTTGAAAAAAGATGAAAATACCCTTAGGGGGCGTTTGGTTCATGGAATCTTGGATTACCCCAGGTAATAGGATTACCTCTTGGGAGGTAATGTGAGATTTTGATAATATAAGATTACCTTGTGTGTTTGGTTTGTATGGTGTAATATAATATTACCTTGTTTGGTTCAGGGTTATATTGTAGGTTATATGGATCAATTTACAATAATGCCCTCAATAATATATATATATATATATATATATATTATGTGTGTGTATTTATTTATATCTATGAATGTATATCAAAGCTTAAATATTAAAAAAAACTAAATATATAAATATACACATATGTATATTTGATTATATAAACACACACACACACACACACACACACACACACACACACACACACACACACACACACACACACACATATATATATATATATATATATATATATATATATATATATATATATATATATATATTATTATATAAGGATTAGTTAACAATGACAAAGTTGGAATAATTCAAGGTAATTTAAGATTACCTAAAAAAATGGGGATAATCACATTACCGCCACATCAACTTTCAGGTAATATAACATTACCTGGTAATCTCATAATTTGAACCAAACAAGGTAATATAACATTACCAGACTCAGATTACCTAGGTAATCTAAGATGACATGAACCAACCCCCCCCCCCCCCCCTAGAAAATCTTTAAAAATTATGAGGTATTCAATCAAAATTTTTAAAGAGTTCTTAAAAGTCGGGTGATATTCGATTCATACTGTTAAAGAGTCTTTAAAAGTCATGTGAGATTCAAAAAGTTATGAACTTTTGTAGACTGCTACCTAATTTTTTGAAATTTTCTTTCTTCGAACTCTGAATTCTTTCTCTCTATATTTAAACTCAATTTTTTTCTTCCTGTTTCTAAAAACATAATAAGTGTGAATGAAGGTTATACCCTTCATTTATGTCCGTTTTTTTCCGTTAAGTTTTTTTTATACATTGTGCTATAAAGATTGTACTTTACAATATTTTGGACAATTATACCCTTACCGTTATAACTTCCGTTATCTTTTCCACTATTGTTACCATGCACATACACCCACAATACATTTTCTTATATTCTTCAATAATAATAATATATACGCAATATATATTGGAGTTATATGTTAATTATTTTTTAAAATATAAATATCAAAATTAGAAGAAAATTTTTTTACATTATCATTATTATTATTTACAATAATTTAAATATCTAAAATCTAAATAAATTTAAAATTTTAATATAAAGTACTAATATTGAGCACCTATTTTTTGCGCATCGCGCATAAAAAAATACTAGTAAACTTTATAAACCTTATACCTAAATCCAATAAATTAGTTTGTCTTCATTATCTTATATTTGCTTCATATCATACTCTACCAATTTTTATCTTTCACCTAAACTTTACAATCCTCCTCAAAAAATTCTAAATAATATTATTTTAATATATTATTAATATTATATTTTTTATTTTATTTTATTTTATGTAATTAGTAATTATATTTTTAAATATTTTATTTGAACAATTGTGTTATTATAAATTTTTATTCAATATTGTTATGAATTTCTTATAGTAATTTTTTTTTGCTTATTAATATTATATAAGTAATTAGCATATATCTCTTATTATACTATTAATAAAAATAATAATGTTGAGAATGTTGATGTGGGTGAAGAACTATATAATAAGAAGAATTTTATAATATATTATAACATGTTTTGTAAGAAAATTATAAATGATAAAAATCGAAATCATTGAAAATTTGTAAGAATGTATTCAAGTTAATTAGAATATCAACGACTTTTGTAATTTTTTAAAATAAAAAAATTGATAAAAATTTATTAATGTTTTTTTATATAGACTTTTTATAAAATTTTTAAAATTTTTTAACGACTCTATAAAAATCTATAAAAATTTATTAAAATCTAACATTTTAATTTTGTTTGAAAGTTTACAAATTGAATACACCCCGTTTAGTTCTTAATTAGTGGTTGGTCCCAAGTCTTCTATTCCAACTTAGCGATTTTTAACTAACTTTGTTTCCTCAATGAATAAGTTTAATGGGTTAGACCGGCAACTTATAAGAATAATCTATTCAATAATTTAATACCAAAAAAGCGTACAAACATTAATAAGGCGTATTTGTGAAAATGTTTTTACACTTTTATGGTAATGTTTTTGCATTGATACCGTAGACCGTTAGATTGTGCACCTTAAATCACTTAACACAAAACATTATAGCTAAAAAATATTATCGAACTCAAAATATGTGTTTGAGACATTAATAGCCTTACTAATTTATTAAAATTTTTCGTATAAATATTTTTTTTAATAAGCATTTACCATCTTCATCTCAAACTCATCTGTGTTTTTATAAATACATTTTAAAACTTAATGTCACAATTTTAAAGAATTTTTTACACTTTTGGTCTCACGACTATACTGTCACTATCATGATTGATTTGTGACTTTCAAACATTGCAATATCAATCTATGACTATTGTTTTTGTTGCAAAATGGTCATTTCGGCCAATTTTTCGTCAAAATTTCATCCGGTAAAAAGCTCTCCATTTCAAGCAGCCATAAAATAGACATTTACATTGACATTGCAATCCCGGATCGCTGTTGACCTCTTATTTTGATCAAAGTGCGAAAAAATCAAACAAAAAAAAAATAATTGTCAAAGACGAAGCATAATATGCTTTCATCTCATCAACCCATCTGCGAATGAGTTTTTTTGTTTGTTCGAATTTATTCCGCACTTTGGTCATAATAAGAGGTCAACAACGGTCCGAGATTGCAAGCAAGGTCAATGTAAATATCTATTTTATCCCTGCTTGAAATGAGAAATTTTTTATCCGGTGAGATTTTGACGGAAAAATGACCGAAAGGATAATTTTTGCAACAAAAATAATAATCGTGGATTGAGATTGTAAAGTTTGAAAGTCGCAGATAATCGTGGACCCAAAAATGCAAAAAACTCCAATTTTAAATAATTTATCAGCTGTCTTAAACGAAACCCTAAAAAGAAGAAAAATAATTTAGCGGCTTTCGGCATTTTACCAAAATATCACGGAGTGATTAAAATAGATTAGGAAAAAACCCTAAAAAGAAAAAAAATAATTTAGCGGCTTTCGGCATTTTACCAAAATATCACGGAGTGATTAAAATAGATTAGGAAAAAAGGTTGAAATGACAAATATACCCCTGGAGCAGAAACTGTTTTAGGTAAACGTCATTAATGGGGAAATTCACAAGGGAAAAAGACGAGAGTACCCCTGGTACCGCATCTGTTTTAGGTAAAACCATTAATTGCAAAATATTTGAGGGAAGACCAAAAAAAGAAAAAAAGGAGTAAAAATAGCAAAAAGTTGGGTGGGGCCCAAAAAAGGACCAATGGGAAGGGGAGTCAAGCTAAATGTGGCAACAACAGAGTCATGCAGTGTATAGGAAAGGAGGAGAGAATGGCAAAATCCCATGCAAGCTTGCCGTTTCCAGACTCTCGCCATTTGGGGACTCTCCACCTTCTCTCTCTCTATCTCTCTCTCTCTCTTTCTCTCTTTCTTCTCCTCTCTGTCTTCCCTTTTTCTCCCTCTCTCTCTCTCTCTATATTTAGCAACCCATTGTTTCCCCTATCCCATTGTCCTTCTCTGTTCACATTCCCTATATAACTCCACCACCACCACCAGAGCCACCCATCCGCCACCGCCCCTGGTCAAAACCCTTTCTTTCTCAGTTCTTTGAATAGAGGGAGGGAAGGGGGGAGGGAGATTTGTTTGGATTTTGTGTGTATAGAGAGGGGGGGTTTTTTGTTTTGTTTTGGTTTGGTTCTTGATTGAACAAGGGAAAAAAAATGGGGAGGGGGAAAATTGACATAAAATTGATTGAGAATGTGAACAGCAGGCAAGTCACATTCTCCAAGAGGCGCTCTGGGCTCCTCAAGAAGGCTCAGGAGCTCTCCATTCTTTGCGATGCTGAGGTCGCTGTCATCATCTTCTCCAGTACCGACAAGCTTTTTGAGTACTCCAGCACAAGGTATATCTCTGTTCTCTGTATGTTTCCCCCTTTTTTTCCTTTATAGTTTGGGGATTTATCATTGTTGCATGTGGCATTCTTGATGGGATTGCTTCCTTGATTGTGTTTAGTAATGGATTTTATGCTTGGGCTGCTTCTTTTGACTAAAGATTAGATTTTTAGTGGAGGGTTTCTGCCTTTCTTGCAGATGTGCCAATTTGGATTGCTATGATTTCCATGCCCCGTTGATTTTGTTAATTTTAACTGTTTTTTTTTTCTGGGTATTCAAAAAAGATTGTATTTTTGACTTTTGAGTGTACATGGTTGCAAGAAGCTAGTAATCATGTAGCCATGTAGGTAGCAGAATCATTTGTTTTCAGGGGTTTCAGCTTTGTTTTACCATCTAGTAGGCTCCAATGTTCCATTCCCCTTTGCCCAAAGTGGAAAAAATGATTTTTTTTGACTTTTGGTGCTTGTTGCTTTGCCAATAAGCTTTAGCCACTGTTTTCTGCAATTAGTTTTATTGGATTTTTTGATGTCTATGCTGAGCTTCAAACTTGTGTAGCTATAAATTGGCATTGCAGAAGGGGAGATATGCATATGAGCTGTAACCTGGCAACATAGTTGTGTTTCCTAGTAATGATTATAGTCCAATTTTGGAGCTCTTTATAGTATGAGTACTGGATAGCACTTGACTGTTGTAGTGCATTATGTGGACATTGTTTCATGTTCAATTATTTTTTGTCGTTTCTGCAAGGTCAATTTTAAATTCATATTCGGTTTGATGTTTTGCGTTGTTGTGTTTAATTGAATGTCATTTATAGCGGATCGGGGTCTTAATGCAAGGCTCTTTTGATTTGCAATTGGCTAGTAAATCATCTTTGAGAATTTTTTGAACTAAGGAAAGACGAGTCTCCTAGCATCCTCGTAGTTGGATTTCTGTTTGTGTGATTTTTGTATGTACCTTAATGTTCACGTTTTAGAGAAAGGCGGGTAAAAAGACTACATGTGCTTGTTCGAGTTGTCTCATAGTTAAGAAAATTTTCTTGATAACTATGATCACTCCTTTTCTTCCCACCGTTGAGGTTGTGTTTGTTGTGTATATCGATGTTTTCTTTCTTGTCCCGAAGAACGTTATCTTGTGTATTACAATGATGACTCCTAAAGAGTCTTTATATAGGGATTACATGATATATTCAAACTATAATAACTAGACTAACTAGAAGTCTAGAACTTCGACACAATAGAATTGATAGCCCTATTATCTCTACTTGTATTCTGGCAACGATAATACCCTTTGTTTCATCGGTTTATGCTAAATATTTTATTTATACTTATATGCTTTCTATATCTCTATGCAGCATGAAGCATACACTGTCAAGGTATAACAAATGTCTAGATTCTACAGAGACACCTAAAATTGTAGAAAAGAAGCCAAAGGTAAAACTTTAATATTTTCTCGATTGTTAACCCTAAAGTATTATGCTTTTGTACTAAACTCACAATGGATGTGCATTAATAAGTTTCTTATAGATTCACAAAAAGGTTACCACGAGAAGTGCCTATACGGGGCTTGATAATTGTATTCCAATTTTAGCCTTCGTGACTTTTTCGCTTTGCTTCCATTTGCCTGACCACGGAGTAATTTTTCTGACTCTATGAATAAGCAGGTGGAGCACAAGGAGGTGGAAGTTTTGAACAACGAAATCTCGGAGCTTAAATCAAAGCAATTGTACGTATTCTATTAGTCATCCAATGTTTGTTTCCATATCTTTGTAAAAACGAAAGCAATTTAATATTATTGAACCCGAATCTTATTTTAGGCAATTGTTGGGTAAGGACCTTACTGGTATGGGTTTGAATGAATTGCGCCAGCTTGAGCATAAACTAGACGGAGCACTGTTAGCTATAAAGGGAAGAAAGGTTTGTCACTACTTTTTTTATTCGTGACAAACATTCATTTGTCTTTGTTTTCACAGATCTTTAATGGATTAAATCTGTAATGGTACTTTAAAAAAAAAAAAAATCCAGGAGCAATTACTGTTGGAACAACTAGAGAACTCGAGAAAACAGGTATGAATTACAATGATGATTAGATTAATGTTATGTTATAGACTACAAAATCATTTTACAGCAACAATTAAAGACTTCTAAGTTCTAATCTTATGTTGATGTTACGTGTTTTTTTATCTCTAACCAGGAGGAGCGTGCACTGGTGGAAAACGAGAATTTGCGCAGACAGGCAAACCGAATATTCTGATGTTGCTTTTAATAATAATAATCTGGTTTTGATGAATCCTATATTTAACACGTTTTGTCTGGAATTTGATCGAACACAGATAGAAGAGCTTCGAGGATTAGTTCCATCGAACGTGAGTATGCCAATGCCAACGCCTTATCTCGAATATTATCCCGTACTGAAGAATTGTTCCTCGGGAAAAGATGGCGCCGAGAGTCTCAACACAGGGTGCGACGATGATTTGGATAACGAGGTCTCCGATACTACCTTGCAGTTGGGGTAATACAATATCTCGTTCGCCAAAAATTGCATCTTTTCGTGCTCAATTCAAGACGTTTAATTACCTTAACTTGTTCTTTTCTTCGTTTTTGCTGCACAGTCCTCCCACGGGTTCGTGTCGGAAGAGGAAGACGCCCGACCAGGAAACTCATTCCAGCAACTCCGAGAACCATCTGGAGCTGAAGTGACGCGGTTGTCCTTCCCCCGTAGGGTCGAGTAGGGGGGAGTAGATGAATATGGAGAGGCTTTTAGTCATTTTAGATGAGCATGAACAAAGTGAGAGGTTATGCAGACAAGTTTCTTCAGCAGGGCATTGTAAAAGTTAACCAACTTTAGGCTCTCCTTGGCCATTCATCTCTCTTCTTCACCATCTTTATTGTTTTTGTATGGTGGCCTGGGAGGATTATTAACTTCTGAATTAGTAATGGAACTGCTGTTCTTGGTTGCACTTTTCACATCCTTCTAAACTTCTGCCTGTTCTTTCATTCTTGGCCTCTTTGAGGGCAACCACAATAGTGGTATTTGGGGAGGTTTTTGCAGGTGATTATCTTACGTGTGGAAGAGAGAGAGTAATTTTGGTTTTTGCATAAAGATCTCGGTTTTTGTCAGATATGTGGACCCCACCAAATAAGTGAACATTCTCCTCGGTGCATGTTATGTGCACTAGAAGCGCCTAGCCGGGCACGTGGATTATATGTGCCTGCTGGGTGTGTTAGTATAACATTTTTTCTCTTTTTCCCTTCCTTCTTATCTTCTATTTCCTTATCACACCTTGCAAAAACTCTTTAAAATCTATGCCTATTGAGAATGCTCTGAGATTATGTTTCTCCCCGCCCCACCCTCTTGTCATAGGGGAATTGATTGATTGAAATGGGCAATTTTTATTTGCCCGGACGGATGAAAATAGGCTTTTTTCAAATCTTGGATAAAAATGAGCAAGGTTCATTTCGAAAATGCATTTGGGTCAAATTGTGTAAAATGTATAGGGGGAAATGATTTTTATTTGTATTTTTGACATATATTAAATAAAGTAAAGAAGGAGATGCTTTTAGAGCAATCCCAATAGTGAATTTTTTTGCTCAATGTTTGCAGTTCAAATAAGAGAGAAAATATCGAATTATAAATATCTATTATATTAGATTTTTATTTTCATTTTTTGTAAAAAGAAACTCGTAGTCACCATTTAAGAATATATATTGAGTAAATTTCACTCTTTTTTTTTTGTGTGTAAACCACACTGTGGTCCGGATCTTTCTCTGTCCGTTTAAATTTCACTCTAATATAATAGCTCGTCACTAATCAATGATTACTCTATTATTGTGCAATTGTACAATTGGTAAGCGCAACTCGTATAGTCCTATATAAGAGATGCCTACTTGATAGTATGCGTGGGTATTAAGTAAACTCCAATTGCAGTACTGATAATAACTCGTAAACAATTCCAATTGTAGTACTGATAATAACTCGTAGACTACATAGGAGAGGAAAACTCGATTGAAAGGATGTTGTTAACAATTAAACAGATAACTTAGAGTTCTACTACATATACTTCCAAATTCTACTCCATCACTTTTACTCCATGATTTGACAAATAAAGAAGGATATTTTTAAGAAAATGTTATGTGTACTCTCAATTTTTACTTCCACACTCAAAATTTTGATGTAGACACTTGTATTGGAACTCATATAAAAAAAATAACGGAGCCAACTACATAAAATTGAGGGTAAAATTTAAAAATACATGTAAAACTCATATTTTTATTATGTAAATCCAAAAAAAAAAATATTTACATTAAAAATTTATGAAAGGAAATAAAATTAAAAGTAGAAAGTGAGAGGAGATGTATTATTTTCCATAACTTATAATACAAGAATCATAGTGTGTCTATTCGATCACATATTTTGGTCATTGGGTTATTTTGATTCAAGTAGTCAAACGAGTTAAACGCAAGCGGATCAGCCGGTACTGTTCTTTCTTTTCAGATTCGATTCAGCTTCCTCTCTTCTCAAGTCAAACCGGAAGAAGTACTGATTCTTACAGAGGAAAGAGACAGTAAAAATCTATATACAAAAATCCAATTAACAATTGGCTCTCCACACTCTCTTCTCTCCATCTTGTTCCCTCTTCTCATGTGAATTTCTCCACTTCCCAAAACCCTAACCCTGAATCCAGTGTTGTTACTGTAGTTGTAGACCCAGCAATACTGTATTTATTTGTTACGTTTATATATAGGGGAGGTATTTGTGGCAGGGTTCGATTCATTGCTCCACGATGGCGTCTGTAAAGATGGTGAACAGATTGGCGCTGGCGGCCTTCGCGCCGGAAGCGCCGTACTTGGCTGCCGGGACTATGGCGGGGGCGGTGGATCTGTCATTCAGCTCGACGGCCAATCTTGACATTTTCCAGCTTGACTTCGCATCGGATGACCGCCAGCTCATCTTGGCCGGCTCGGTGGCCAGCTCCGAGCGGTTTACCAGGCTTTCTTGGGGGAAGTCTCCCGCGAATTCTGAGCAGTTCCCACTTGGTATCGTTGCTGGTGGGCTTGTTGATGGAAACATTGGAATGTGGAATCCAAGGGTTCTGATCTCGTAAGTTTGACACCTTTTTGTTTGTTGTTGCATTTGATTTCCTTAACTGTTTGGTTAAAAGTGATTGATTTTTGCTGATTGTTTGTATATTGGAAGTTCCTGTGTGTTTCACAGGCACTTGTTTTGTGTATTACTGTAGGTTATCTAGTTCTTTCTCCCTGGGTTGTGCTTATTTTGTTAGATTAGAGGACTTCTATAGGGAAGAAAGTCAAATTTATTTATTTTTCACTTCTATTGAATTCTTAATGCATGAGTAGATTAAATCCATGTGTTATTGCATGTTATCATACTGAATGCCTCCTTCCTATGTAGTTGGGCTTGGCATTTATTCATGCATCTTCGACTTCCATGAATGTGATGACTGCCACTATTTCAAATCCTCTTTTATTTTGTTGATAGTGGATTGCTTGATTTTTTGCCACCTGGAATAGTTAGAAAATTTCGATACATTATCCTTAAGCATCAAAACAGAGAAATTAATGCTCAAGATATACACAAAATTGTTGATTGCAAAGGATGTTGAAATTTTACCCCTTGCACACATTTATTATACACCACAAATCCATGTTTTTTTTTGGTGGTAGTATTTTTTCATAGTATCCAGTATTATTGATGATTTTTGGATTTTTTTACCCAACAGCTCTATTGCAAACCAAGAAGGTGGCAAGGTTACTGAAAATGCATTTCTTGGTCATCTTTCAAAACATAGTGGGCCTGTAAGTACAAAGGTTTGCTTGTTGCATACTTCTTGTTTTGGGCATGTGGTGTGCCCTTATAGGTTGGAAAGGTCATGACATGTTATTTTGTTGTGTTTGATTTTTCAGGTTCATGGTTTGGAATTTAATGTTTTCACTCCAAATCTCCTTGCTTCTGGGGCTGATGATGGTGAAATCTGTATCTGGGATATTTCAAATTCAGCAGAACCTACCCATTTTCCTCCTTTGAAGGTATATAGCAACTTACAATGAAGAATTGTTTGGAAGCTTTTCCAGTTGCAATTTTCTAGGAATTGTCTGTATCTGTTCTTCTGCACCCCAGTTATATGACAGAAAAAAGAAGAAAAGATAATTTGTCTGGGGCATTCAGACTATAGCATCATTATTGAAACATAGTATTGGATGTGCGTCAGATATAATTTTCTTCTCTTGACTGTTTGTTAATGTTATCTTAGAGATTAAAAATTGAGGAGATCAATGGCTACTCTTTCATGAATCTCGTTTTATAATTGTAACCTGCCCAAAGAAAACTAGAAAAGTTATGTAGTATATTACTTTGCCTACCCCCTCCCCTAATTATGTGTACCTGAATTTCATGGCAATGTGGGTTCATGGCAGAGATTAGGTAGAAGGAATGGGATTAAGGGTGCAGAAGTATTTAGCAATGCTTTTGTATGAGGACAGATCAGGGTGTTGTGTAAGGAGATTAACGAGGTTGTTCCCCTACCATGTCAAAAGCATGGTGTTCTTTGATAACAGTGCTTGATTGAAATTTTGAGGCATAGAGTGGCTTGACTGGGCAATTTGTGGAAAAGTTGGTACTAGGTAAGATTAATCTGCTTAGGTGCTGGAATTAGTAGACTGCAAGAGGTAATAATATTTATATGCCTGGATAACTATAAATTAGAACAATTTTTGGTGGTGCTTCTCGACTAGGATAACACGTAGTATTTGTTAGCAGTTTCTTTCCAGTTTAGGAAATTAGTATTGTAGAGGGAGAAGATAACTTAGTTTTCATGGATGAAGGCATAAAGCATCTGGAGAACCTATTGGAAAGAGTATATTGTATAGAAAAAAGTGGTTACAGATGTGCTATGGATTTGTACCCCCAATCAAATGTCTATTTTCCATTCAAATTGACTGACTCCATACTATGTACAACAGAAGCTCTACTGTATAAATGCAGAAAACTTTTATCTGCCTCTAAAGGAAGTAAATATCAGATGTTTACCCTTTGTCTCTCCTATGGCCTCATGCTGCTTATAAGTATGATCTTACATGCTTGGTCTTATCCTTCTTTTTTATTTCATAAGTATGTCCAGTTTTATCTATTTTGTGTGGACAATCTTCTGAATGCATATACAACCACCGAGCTACTTTTGTAGGGTAGTGGATCAGCAACCCAAAATGAAATTTCATATATATCGTGGAATAGAAAGGTTCAGCAGATATTGGCGTCCACATCATCAAATGGCACAACTGGTGAGCAAGAAGTCAGCTGAAGGATGTACTAGTCTCCATTTGAAGTTTGAAAAAATTGCCTTTTAATCTTACAATTTTGTTTTCCTTTTCTATTTCTCTAGTGGTTTGGGATCTGAGGAAGCAAAAGCCTGTGATAAGGTATGCCTTATCCTAAAATTGGAGCATTGTTATGTTCTTTCCATTATTTGATCTCAAATTATAACCTACATTAAAGGGGAAACTTGCAGTTTCTCAGATTCTATTAGAAGGCGGTGCTCTGTTTTGCAGTGGAATCCTGATGTTGCCACTCAACTTGTTGTTGCCTCTGATGAAGATACTTCACCTGCACTGAGGGTAATAATTTGTTTTCCATTGGCTAAAATGTTCTGTTTATCACTTGTAACTAGCTTATTTATTTTCACAGATGTGGGATATGCGAAATACAATGTCTCCAGTGAAAGAGCTTACAGGGCATACCAAGGGTGTGTATACTTGATTGCGTTTTTCTATGAGATTCTTGTGTTTACCCTCTATTCTGTAGTTTGTGACACATTATCTAACTAAATTTTGAACTTCCATTTTGATGTCCTTTTTTTGGAAAGTTCTCTGTCCGTATAGTCTTACTTCATTTGGATATCTTTGTGACAATCATTCTATTTTCCAATTCCTTGCTGCTCTTCATCAGGT